TCCATTCAGGTTCTCTATTTTGTGCCATTTTGCATCTTCCATATCTGATAACAGACAGAAAACAGAGTGGATGACAGCATGCGTCTCCCACCTTGACTAGTGCAAGTACTCACCCCAGGTATATATATGCCTGGTATGCAACCAGAGCAGGATTTAGGAGGTACGCAGTCAAAACCTATAAGCTCCACAGGGAAGTCCTGTTGGTAAAGACTCTGCATTTGTCAAGAGGAGCCTCAGCTTCCATTATAAATCATTTACACAGCTAAAAAACAGTAGTTAAAAGCCCACTAACTTTAAAAGAAACCTACATGACAGATGCTGGAATACACAGGCTGATGAGCAATCCAACAGACAAGAACCAGCAGAGGCGGGGGAATGAGCTACAAAAGGGTTCACCATTTGGGGAGATACACTGATGATAGCAGATTACTCAGACTCAAATTACTCAAACTACTGGAAATACTCACAAAACATTTACACTGCTATGGTCAATTAATTCTTTTTCAAGCTCAATTAGTGGCTTAGAGGAAGAGCCAAAGAGATACTCAGCTTCAAGGAGAAGCAGTCCTTATTTATGACAATGAGAAGTCACCGTCTCAGCTTATTCCCTCCCTCTTATGCCTTTTCTCAACCCTCCTCCCCACATAAAACCAGGTAAAATTCTTCTGTCATCACACCGCCACAACAGAAGGCAAGAGTACGAGAATTGTTCTGCGTACTAAACAGCATACAGACAGCTGGCACGGGAAGTGTTAAAGGGATCACGGGTCAGGGCACAGAGGAAGCAAGGAAGAGGACAGATGGTATGTATGGATTCTGGCAAGCGTGGGAGACGAAGGGAAAGCCCACAACCAAAGTGACATAGTTAACAGAGATGGTCCTGAAGAGCAGGAGACAAAAAAAGGACAAAAGGAAGAGAGGGAAGAGATAAGACATGCATGGACAAGGTGCAGGTAATTCTGCTTTGCATCTTATTTCCTCCCCTCACCCAGACCGGCACTTTTTACTCACTGGCCACAGAAAATGAGAACTGGACTGAGTTGTAAGTGTTCCTGTTTGAAGGGGGACAGACAGGATGAGATACTACAGCAACGGAATTGATAAAATATTGCTGGACATCCATGTTCAAATGTCAGGCAATCCAAACGAAAGAGAACAGACTTTGCACATAACCACACACACACGTGCATGAAACTTCCTCAGTGGGCACGCCAAAACACAGCATACTGGTATTCACAGAAAAACCAGTCCACAGTACCAAGTGAATCCTGTAACCAAACTCCTAGTCACACACAAACACTTTAAAGCGAGGTTTAAGCCTTTCAAAGCGAACTAGTTAGTCGATGAGGAATCGCAGACAAAGCAGCTTAAAGTACGGCTCAGTAGTAACACACTGGGAACTCAGCCATCTCATGCTGCTAATGCAACTCCTATGGCTTTGTCTTCACTATCAACAGCTCAGCTAATGCAAAGCAACATCACAGCAGAAAACAAAGGACTGCTGCAAGGTAAGTTTTAGTAAGTAGAGCCCTATTCTGATAGGAGGAAGGTAACAAAGCCTAGCCTAAAACAATTAAAAAAATTAAAAAGTTTTATATCTATACATACACACACGCTCCCACCCTTGCGATGCTAGCATGACACTTTCAAGCATGGCTGTCCTCCCTGGAGCTGCCTGACACAAGTAACACAACACAAACTGGTACAATGACACAACCAGATGCGACGCGCACGCTTACACGTTTTGAATGTCAGCTGTTCTTAGTTTGCAGCTGCTGTTTCTGCAGACAAGAACAATTCCTGGGCTCCTAGATTCCCCTCTCCCACACACTAAGGCCAGAGGACCTGAATGTTAATTGCACTGCACATCCTTAAAAATTGTTTGGTACAGCTCCTATCTCATCACTGGAGACTGATCATGTACCCATATTCAAACCCTGGAACAGGTGCCCAGTGGGGCTGTGGACTCTCCATCCTTGGAAATGTGCAAAACTTAACCAGACGAGGCCCTGAGCAACCCTGGTCCAAGTTAGCCCTGCTCTGAGCAGGCAGCTGGACCAAACGACCTCCAGAAGCCTTTCCAGCCTGAAGTAAACTAGGAGCCTATCTCTACAGATTGACACAAGCTGGAGGGGGGAGAAGAGACAAGTGATTTTTCTTCTTCCTTTGCCCTTCTCAGATTAAGACACCAGGGCTGCCTTTCAATGCCTGAACTCTGAGCTAAGAACTCCTCTAACACCAGATTTGGGCTGTATAAGCCTATCTAAATTTTTATTAGTTTCTGATGTAGAAGACTGGTCAGTAACACCGTAACAGTACACTGTAAGAATGGGACCATTTCCAAAATTCATCAAGAGAGTAAACCAAACTTTTTTAGCTACACACACTTTATGTATATACTCACATACGTAAGTGACTGAAATTGTTCCTCTGAAGCCATCACCAAGGCTCGGTGCTCAGCAGGATTCAAAAGGGGATGTTTCTTGGGTTAGAAGGAATCACCCATCCTTCAGACAGTAAGCCAAACTTCCTCAATTCAGACATAAGCCAACAGCTACCAACACAAAACCATCCCAGTCTCCTTACTAATGCTGTAATTCTTTCCCCCAGTGACTCCTCTCACATCCCATGTCTCTGCCATGGTGCACAGACCGTAGCTACACAAGCATATTCAGCAACCCACCCCCAGTGGCTGGTTCATTAGACATGCTTCTCATGGCAGCATACACAGAGTTAAAAGCTGCCTACCAAAATGGAGAGGATGGAGGTGCCGAACAGACAGCCTGAAGCTCTCTGGATGCGTTACAGAACATTTTTTGCACGAATATTAATTTTTTGTTTGGAGATTCAAATGAGCACTATCTCCATTCTGTTTTGGCTTATCTGACCTGCTAACAGCAGGCCAGCACAGGATATGAATCGCTTGCTCTCCCCGTTGCCTCTTTTCCATGCTAATTTTACATTTATGAAGGTGCTTAGATAGCAGATAGATATATAGGAAGAGGAAAGAACAGTCTAATTATCTCTGTTAATTTGGGCAGGATCAAAAAGATGCTCATCCAGAAAACTGTTAACCAATCAAGTGGGCTGGAAGTATTTAAATAAAAAAAAACCCAGCAAAGGACAATTCTGCAGAAACTTAAATTCATAGTTGCAGCATAGCCTAGATCAGTGAGGTTTATTTGAGTCTGTCATGACAAGAACTTTTATGAATTGTCATTTTGCAGCTATTTATATTTTATTGTCAGTTACTATGTTCATTACTGTCTGCAATTCACTAGATCCAACTGATTTTGGTAAGGAAATTTTTGAAGAGAGAGTCACAAAGCATATTTTCCTGTTACTGATTCATGGGTAAATACCTGGCCCAGCTTTCATTAAGAAAATCTTGATTAAGATTTTCTAATTGTACCAGGTGAAACAAAATTCATGCAAGGCAAAGGATGACAACATTCTTAGAGACAGAAAACACTCCTGGGTTTGTATCCTACAAATACAGAGAAGTGCCAGCATTCAGCTTGTTTTAAGAAGTAGAAACAGCACACCAAAAGTCATGCTAGCAGCATATTCAGAAGCCAGGTAATGAGGAACCTGAGAGTCACACAACTGTTGTCATCAGGAACATCTCACTGAAAGGTACAGGTTGAACTTTGGATATTTTTTATTCTTGCCAAAGCTCCCACTAATATAAATTCTGCTAGGGTGTAAACAGACATGCATGACAAGGATCAATGCTTACAATATGTCCATACTTTCCCAAGATGTTACAATCTAAGTAAGAAAAAAAAATAAATTAACCTGTCTTCAATGTTGCAACACGAGCCTGATGCTTTATAAAGACTGCAAAGCATCAGATATTTTATCCAGATACTTTTAATGCCTTAGAAGGGGAGAAAAGCTCACTGACTTAAAGCCGAACTGTGTATGGAGAGTTCCACAACAGTTATTAAAGCCCCCTTATTTTAAAAGGGATCTATAACCGGGGTTAAAGAAGAGGCATCGAGTTAAAAAAGCAAGTGCATTTAACAAAAGTTGGTATTTCTAGTCCATTAATTTTGAAGAAGCTATTCTTTCTTCCTTCTGCTCCATAAGCGAAGCTAATGATGTTTTAGAAGTGCCCTGGGAAAGGTAAGCTTCTTATTATTCTGTTTAAGTTTAATGAAAACCTTCATGAAGTATATATGTAAAGGAGCAACTTTGGTTAGACAAAAAGCAGTAACCTCTCAGAAATTTCTCAGTCACTCTAGAATCACATGAAATTCGAGAGTTTTTTCACTCCCAGCTGGATTTCAAATCATAGTGTTATGCTGCAGCATAATCTTGCTGTCTGGGTAAAATGTGTAGGCTACAAAGGTTCATGCTAACTAATGGCTGATTAACATTAACTAAAGCTTAATTAATGCTAAGAAAAAAATGAAATCAAAGAGGAAAAACAGATCAGACATTTTTTAGCTCTGTAGAACGGGAAGTTCTGTAGGAAGGATTAAAACATGTAAACATTATTAACCAATTCATTTGGTCTATTTTCCAGAAAGTTGGTATGAAGTTTCAAAGGGTTAGGAATTACATTTTGACAGGAGAGAACTAAATTAACAGGATACAGTTAACAATTTTGAAATGAAAGGAACTAGTCTTGATGGTAGTGGAGGTCAACTTATAGCACTCGGCCAGTGTGCTGAAGCAGTATACACAGGATCCCTAAAAATCACAGAGCATCACTCTTCCACTGGAAGAATTGTAAGTCCAGTCTGTCTCAATTTATCCATCTGTGAATAGGGGTTTAGGTACCTTCTGCCAAGTGCCATACTGGACAATTTGAAGAACATTAAAGACCTGAAATAATAAGAAAGGGTCTCCTTTTTTTTCTAATAACAGCTAAATTAAGAAAATGGCAGTAGCTTTGTTACTTACCTCATACATACTATAGAACACACTGGTAACACTACCTAGCCAAGCCTTGTGATATTACGCATGTTAAGGTCATAGCAATGGTCACTTACGGCATTCCTTCTCATCACTGTCATCAAAGCAGTCCGGCAGCCCATCACACTGCCAGGCCCCTGGGATACAGCGCCCGTTACTGCACATGAAGTTTCCAGGAATGTTGCATTCGTTTGTGAAGTTATTCCCAGGCAACAGTTGGCTCTCTGCAACAAACAAAAAAGAGGGAAGTTTACAGGGGATTTTAAAAAAACAGCAGCAAAAGCAGACACTGAGCAAGCTGTTTATCAGTGGTTGAATGAAGATGAGGCAAATGGATCTTGACCCTGGTTATTCTGTCATTACCCCATCAGTATCCTGAGTATGGTACTTGGTAGCACTTTCTTTTTCCTAAATTATCATTTTACCTGTTCTCCATTCATACTCCCCATCTTACAGATTTCTTTCTTGCTATTTTCTTTCTAGGAACATACATGCAGCCTTCTATGGATCCTCAGGTCAAAGCAAGTTTTGTTAAAAAAAAATAAAAATCTCTCTCCACAGGGTCTGTCTAAACACAAGCAAAACAGACGAGGCTACAAGAACTCAGCTCCATACTCCCATGCTTTTGTCAGATCAGTACTTAGCTCGCAAAATAATTTTTTGTTGTTGTTGCTATCCAAGGGCTAGGAACTAGGTTACACGTTGACTAATTCATACTAGGTTTTCAATTAAGTTTTAAACACAGTGGTGCTGATCAGTGTTAGAGTTGAGCTTCTTGGTGCTAATATAGTCTCCTGGCACACATCTGTCCACAGGCTAGTAAGGCAGCTGGCACACTAAGAGTCTGCCAAGTGGAGGGGGTTTAGTGGCAGAATACTGGAGATCAAGAGAACCGTGCAGGAGGGAAATCTAGAGATTTGCCTTCAAGGTTAAACACAGCTCTAGTCAGCCATTTTAATCTACCATGTTTCCCGCTTTGTGCATTGTTTTTGGAATGCAGATATCACAGAAACACAAACTTTAGTGAAGGAAGATAATGATACCCAACGGTTTTAATAAGCACCAAAATGGCATGTCATGTTGTCGAGCCGGGGGGAAGCTGCAAGACAAGGCAGAGGGTGAGAGAAAGAACATCCTTCCCCTCGTCTTCCTCTGTCACATTCCAGGCTAGTCCTAGGCAACATGCACTTGACCAGGCAAAAAAGAGAAGTACAAACCTCCCCACATAAGGGTGGAGGTGTCACAAATATATGCCCCCCCTTGCCTGCCCACATATCTTCACGGTTCAAAACCGGGAAGAACGAATTAAGTTAATGCGCAGCTTAATCATTTACCTGTCATTTACCCATTTTGAGGATAACTGCCTGATTTTTGGCACCCTGGGGGAGTGTCAGAGCTGCAGCCGGTGCCCTCCATTGCCCACCCCACACCAGCTTGCTCCCTGCCCCTGTTGGAGTCCAGCCGAGCTCTCGTGGCCAGGAGAAGCTCCATACACACGGCGTGGCGAGTGTCCCACTCTTCAACGCTACAGAGGCCACAGAGCAGATCACAGCTCCCCGGATCAGCACTTTCAGGGAAGACCCTTTCCTAGCTCGTTCCTGCAGTCCCAGGGAAGAACCTGCTCCATACAGGCATCTTTGGAGAACTCGGCTGCCAAAACGAGCCTCTAAGCATGAGGCTTTCCAGAAACTCCTGAAGCAGCCAAATGCAGATGGTTCCCTTCCTCCCCCACAATGTAGCAAAATGCTCCATCCCCGACGCTGGCAAAACTGCTATGTTTTACATTACTGTTTCAAAAGACATGGTAGGAATGCTTCAGGGAGGTATTTTTTTTATGCCTACTTCTGCCCCAGACAACATATTCCTCTCAAATGTAATTTTTCTTGCAAATGGCTGACTCTCCTGGGGTTGTTTTGAGAATCTGCCAGCACAGAACAGATACCTCAATGGAAATTTGCCCTGAGCTGTTAAAGGACAAGGTATTTCAGAAAAAGGTGGAAATAAGGTCTTCTGAGGCAGATGGGGCAATCGCAGCCGCTGGCCGCACACCCAGAGCCACCTGTAAGATGCTACAGCAGGAGAGCCAAAGAAAGAAAGCGAGAGCCAGCAAAAAGCAAGGCCAGGCTCTGCAGCTGCCAATTTGACGTCTTTTTGCTTTTAACAGTTTCATCCAAACTTCAGTTTCATTCCCTGCATCACTGTGCTTCCGATCGAGATAGAATGGCTTTGCTCTCTACGCTGCGATGGCAAAAGGCTGCAGCCTAGAACACGCTGGAAGCAGCTCAGCTCCAGCCCGCTCGGGCAGCGCCTTCCCTGCTCCCAACAGCTCCCGGGGAAACGCTGTACCCAACTCTGCTTCTTGCCCGAGTCCCTAAATCTGAACCAGCAATGGGAACGTTTTGTCCTCGGCTAGTCCTGCCATGAAACACTGAACAGATACGGCGCTGTCGATAGCCACCCCTGGGCTAGTGCAGCCTTACAGCATCACTGTTAACTAAGTTCTGCAGTTCTATGTTCAACCAGCAAGGGTGGGGTTTTTTTTTTTGTTTGGTTTGGTTTTTTCCTTAAACCAGTGACTGAACACATTCAGATCAGCCTTCGTATCATTGACCTGTACCTAGTAAGTAATCACCAAACCAAAATCACCACTCTCCAACAGCTACAGAGGGTGAAACTGTCAGCATTACACAACCTGCTATTATTACACACTGGAGTTGTTTGCTAACACCTCTGCTGGCAACTGGAGAAAACCTACCGCGGTATTACAAGACTACAGCATGCTGTCACCAGATCAAGATACGAAACAGATGAGATACCTGGGTATTCTCTGCAGTGTAAAGGTACAGCCAATACGCCATGTTCTCAAGTTTGTTATAAAGCATCCAAGAGCTTCAACAGCAGAACCTAACACCTTTCTCCACACTCACCCCATGAAATAGCTTTCAGGTCAGTATGGGACCATGGTAAGACTTTCCTGGTAGTTGTCATACCTTTTATTAGAGAGAATTTACAAGGTCTCAAATATTAGAAAACTGAAATGTCCTGGCTAAGAATAAGTCTCTGATGTAAACCAGAGTTATTTCAAGCTTGACAAGAGAACTAGGAATTACCAAGGCTTTTGCTCTCAGAACCTAAGCACCTAGGCAGTACAAATTTAGGCAGCAACATCAAAAAGGTGTCATTCTCGTGGCATCTCTCTCTGTTGCTCTGCGCTACCTTCTTGTCTAACCTCATTTTTACATCTTGCATCCAACCTACTCCACTTCCACACGGAAGCTGCACCTATTCAGGACAAAAAATCCTGCTGTCAACACTTAAGTGAGACCTCTCCTAGACTTGGGCAAGTAGCTAGTTAAGAATGACAGCTACCTGCCCTAAGTACAGAACTGTCTTCTAGCCCCTAAGCACCACAGTGTTCCTGAGAAAACATGATAACTGGATACCTTTAACACCTCCTGTACAGAATAACCGCAGTTCAGCTCCTGTCAGATCTAATGCTGTTATCTTGCCTGAAAAGCTTTACCCATGATCTCGATGCTTCTTTAATGAAAACACTTAGACCAAGCCAAATCATTCAAGAAATTTTTAGAGTTACAAAAAGCAAAAGCCACAAACCAAGAAAAAACCACCTGAAAAAAGCTCTCAAGTCCCTGTTACTTTTAACAACTCCTTTAAATAAAAGCTATACTTCTACCCTACTGAATTGAAGCAGCATTCCAGGAACAGATACCAGATTTTATTTTTTACCCAGCAAGTTATTTGTTTATAGGATTACCTTTGCCATACAATAAATTTATCCTCAATGTTCTTCTAAAGCAAGGATGTATTACTACCCTTTTCACCAAACAGGAAACAAAAGATACTGGCAGATCAAGTTACTTGCCAACAGCCCTACGCAAGCTCTGCTGCAGAATGGGAACACGGAACTCTGACTCAATCCAATTTCAAAGCAACAGCTATTTCACTTAATACATGGCCTTCATCAGCTGCTAAAGAGAGCTGCAGGTTACAGACAGAAATTTGAGAGCCATAGTCAATGCATCCAGGAACTTGTTACGTACATTACTCCATCTCCAAAAAATCCATTGGTGGATAAAGAACTGTCAAAACAATTGCACATGTGGAACTGTTTTAAATAATATTGCTCCTTTTCCTTCCTTCACTTTGCAAGTCTCCTCTATCGGATGTAAAAACCCTCAAAGAAATCCTCAGTGCAGTCATCGCCTCCCAACCCTGAGGAATGCGATGTTCCTGCCCACTTAGCACACAGCCCGCTGCATGACTCAGGGGGCTCTGTGCATGCACACGAGGAGGAGCAGTGTTACAGACACACACAATTCACGACATGGAAAGGACCAAACTAGATCATCTTGTCTGTTTTTCTAATAAGGTCCATACAGATGTCAGGTTTTGTGCAGCCAACTTGCTATACCACCTGTTGGCAGGGGCAGAAATTCCTTCAAGCTGGCTTTCCAATAGTTGACATATTTACCCTGCAGCCTCTTTGACTAATTTTGAATTCAACCCAAATATGAGCTATACGGACTTTAAGTAAAGGAGGAAGGGAAGAAGGGGAAAGAAGCAGTCCATTTTCACTGCAACACATTGCTCACTTTAAGAAGTATACCATCTGGGCTGAATAAAAAAAGGGACTCGTGTTTCACTTAGAAGGGGACTGAGTAAGGAAAGTCAATCTGTTTTAGCAGCCACTTCCAAAAATGTTAGCATCTAAATATTTAATACTCACTGAAAAAGAATCAGGGAAAAGTAAATAAAAGGATAAGTCATACTGAGCACTTCACACTGTATTGAGAAACCAAGTCAAGGATATCTTTCACAAAAAAACCTTTACCTGAAAGCATTCCAGAGAACCATGCATGTTACAGAACAGATCACTACTGATAACACTGCTGTCTCTGTATCAGAAAATGTAATCAGTAAGAGTAGACAGTCACCCTGCCCAAGGAGGTTTTGGGGAAGAAACACTTGACACTTAACGTGTTCAACACCCTCAGGAACAATGCCAAGAACTTCAGCCTCTTTGCAAAGAGATCTATCACCAAGGATGAAGCATGAACTCTTCACTGCCAAACCTTTCGCATGTCTTTTGTGGGAAACCTGGGATGTTCACTGGATACTTTCGATGGATCACTGCTTAAAGTTTTTCAAATGTGAAGAGAATTATTTTGATCCAGGCTGGTATGTAGCTGTGAGACCAAAGGAG